AGGGGCTGGGGAAATCATTTTAATTACATAATTAGGGGTAATGAGGTGGTGGGAAAAAATTAATTAGTGTAACCCTAATTTTTATTAAAAATTAGTTTTCTTTGCAATTCTATGATTGTCCACAAGGTGGCAGCAGTTTATTAAGTTTGTGGTGTAATTGCGCTTTTTGTTCACTAGGTGGTGCTGTTGCGCTTTTTTTTATACTTCCAGTTACTGTTTTTTCGGTAGGTGGCAGTGTTTCATGTAAAATTTATGTGTAATTCCTTTTCTGTGTCAGCAGGTGACAGTATTGCTATGCGGTTTTCAAATTAGTGTGGTTTTGGTTACATGGGGGTGGAAAAAATTTAATTACCCAATTAGGGCTAATGAGGGGGCGGGGACAAAAAATTAATTTCCTAATTAGGGCTAACGAGGGGGCGGGGAAAAAATTAATTAGCCAATTAGGGTTAACGAGGGGGCAGGGAAAAAATTTAATTACATAATTAGGGCTAACGAGGGGGCGGGGAAAAATTGATTACCTAATTAGGACTAACGAGGGGGTGGGGAAAAAATTAATTAGCCAATTAGGCCTTACAAGGGGCAGGGAAAAAATTAATTAGCCAATTAGGGGAAATTAATTAGTAATTTGCATGTAATTAGTGTAGTTAATTGGTTGCATATGTATTGCTCGAGGAATTGAATGAGCATGGCTAATTAGCACCTATATAGTATATATAAAAAGAATATGTCCTGTGCAGCAGTAGGGGGCTGGGTTGCTCTCGGGGAGTAAATCTTCAATTATTTTAAAATTTTTTTTTTTTTTTTTCTAAGATTTACTCCCCAAGAGCAAGCCAGCCCCCTTACTGCTGCTTTTTTAAACTAAAGTGAGCAAAAGAAAAGCAAGAAAAAAACTAAGAGGAAAAAAAACTAAGAGAAATAAAACTAAGAGAAATAAAAGCAAGACAAGAGAGTAAGAGAAGAGACTAAGAGAAGTGACTAAGAAATGAAAGCAAGAGAAAAGAGATGAAGAGGAGCAAGGAAAAGAAGAGAAGAGAAAAAAGAGAAAAGACTACATGACAGAAAATAAAGACAGGAACCAAAAAGGGGGAAAACCCCCCCAGAGGGAAAAAGTCCCCAAACCTTTATTGCAACTTTATTGAATGACTGCTTGTGACCTTGTGAAATTACACAAGGCTAGTATACAGGGTACAATACAGTTTACAATACAGGACAGCATACAAGTTAAGTTACAATACAGGACAGC